CCCCCCCCCCCCCCCCGGTCCGCGGCTTATCTTACCGCGCGATCGAGCCCGTGGCACGGAACCTCCTTCTGTACGCGTACTTCCGGCGGACGCCTAAATTTAGGCCTCGCGCGGCCCCGCGTTAGATACTCAGAGCCTCGGTATAGGCTGCAGTCAGGCAAACTAACCCGACGTTCTCACTCACTCAACTCGCGCAAACCTCGCTCCCTTTCTCTCTCTCTCGCCCTCTTTCTCTTCCTTTCCTCCTCCCTCTCCCCGTTCCACGTACGTGCTGGAAAGGGAGGAAAAGAAGGGGCGAGGGGGAGGAGGAGCGATGAAGAGTGTGTACGTACACGCGGCCGGCCGGCCGACCGGCCGTCCGGCCGGCTGGCAGGTTTACAAGGAAGGTAAAGGCAAAAGCAAAGCCGGGCAGATAGAAGGCAAGCCTTCCCCAGTGCTGAAGAGAGAGTCTACGATACACACCGTCACGCATTCACCCTCGTCCGATCCCAGACCTGCCTGAACTCTTTTTCCCTTAGTCCCTTCTCGATCCTCCCCCTTGCCCCCTCGCCATCCTCCCTTATCCCCCCACCCACCCCGCCTCTCTCGCGTTATCCAGCCGGCCTGTCCGCCTGCTTACTTGCTCGTTCGCTTCTACCACCACCACCAGCACCACCGACACCACCATCCTCCCTTTCTCTCTCTCTCGCCCTCTTTCTCTTCCTTTCCTCCTCCCTCTCCCCGTTCCACGTACGTGCTGGAAAGGGAGGAAAAGAAGGGGCGAGGGGGAGGAGGAGCGATGAAGAGTGTGTACGTACACGCGGCCGGCCGGCCGACCGGCCGTCCGGCCGGCTGGCAGGTTTACAAGGAAGGTAAAGGCAAAAGCAAAGCCGGGCAGATAGAAGGCAAGCCTTCCCCAGTGCTGAAGAGAGAGTCTACGATACACACCGTCACGCATTCACCCTCGTCCGATCCCAGACCTGCCTGAACTCTTTTTCCCTTAGTCCCTTCTCGATCCTCCCCCTTGCCCCCTCGCCATCCTCCCTTATCCCCCCACCCACCCCGCCTCTCTCGCGTTATCCAGCCGGCCTGTCCGCCTGCTTACTTGCTCGTTCGCTTCTACCACCACCACCAGCACCACCGACACCACCATCGGTGCACCGTCGTCGTCATCGGTACACACGACTATCTTTCTCTCTCTCTCCTCATCCACCTTCTCGACCCTTCGTTCTCGCGGGGGCCCCCTCTGCCCCCCACCCCCTCGGGCACCCCACTCACGCACAGGGACCTCCGGAATCCCCTCGCCCGCGCTCGTCGCCTCAGTCGTCGGTTGCACGGCGAGCCGTACGTGCCGTCTGGCCCCTCTTCCCCTCGTCCGCGTGTACTCCTTCTCTTTCACCTCCTCTTCTTCCTTCAACTCTATCACGTTTCTACTTTAGCCCTCCTCTTCCTCCTCCGTCGTATTTCGTTCTCCTTCCCGCCCGGTTTCCTCATAGTTACTCTCCCTCACTCTCTCTCTCTCTCTCTCTCTCTCTCTCTATCTATCTCTCTTTCTTTCTCTCGCTCCCTCCCTCCTTTCTCTTTCGCTCTTTCTCGCGCGCGGCCCTGCGCCCAGGGGTGAACGAACCTACTAAATGACGGCCATGAAAACAGCCGAAGCTCGGGCACGAAGGATGAAGGAAGGCACGGACCGAAGACGCGGGGGGACTCCCCCTTCCCCCTTCTCGTCCGCGACCGCGAGCAGCCGCTCCTCTTCATCCCACAGACCCGTGTTCTTCACATTCTTCTATTCCCCGTCCTTTCCCTTCTTCTTCCTCGAACTCTCAATCTTCCTCGCTTCTTCTATTTCACATATTTCTCTATTCTCTCTATTCCACTTTCCTTCATCTCGTCCAATCCCCTGGACTCGATTAGGCACGTCGCTTTCTCTCTCCTCTTTCGCTCCTCGTTATTTCACGTTATCGCGATACTATCGGAATGGCGAATTTTATCGATAACTGGATACTTCGAAGCGTCCAGAAAAAAAAAAGGTTTGAATCATCTGAAAGATGATGTACAAAAACGGGAAGCACTAATGAAGAACAAGGAAAACGAGAATTTACATCCGTAAAAGAGAAGAAGTTTGCGAGTGAAATTATCTGAACAGAGTGATCTCCAATCAGTGTAATAGATTTGAGCAAATTTTTCAAAGTGATGTTGTTTCGATATAATACTTGAAAAGGTCTCTGTGCCCTTTTTCTGAAAACTCTAAGAATTCCACATTTTGCATAGTATCTGATTTCAAGATGCTAATTTTGAGAGTACTTGTTATAATAAATAAGTAAGTATAAGATAATAATTCGTTAAAAAAATATTATTATATTACATCAAGTATTTATTGATATAATAATTTAAAATCTGTACTTATATAAATCTATATAAAAATACATCCAAGATAAGTAAGTGTAAACAAATTTCTCCCTCTATCTTCTAAAGAAAAGAAATAGAAAAGAGCTAAAAGTTATATTACAGAGAATTTAATCGCACGAAACGTACGCGAACAACTTTGGCTAGTCAACACGCGGTGCGAAACCGGACGTCGTCATCAAGGGAACGGTGACGATAAATTAGCAGCCATTGATACCCTCGGCTGTTATTTCGGCGAAGGAGCGGGAATAGAGAATGTGGGGAGGAAAATTAGCCGCGATAAAGGGTACTCGAGGAAGCACACGCTCGGAAGAAGAGGGGACGAAGATAAAGAGAAGGCGAAGCGAGGAGCGCTCGCGCAACGACTACTACTCGACGATTGCGTACAAAGATTATATATTCCATCCGTTTGTCGTTATTAAATCCGTTCTCTTCCCGAGTCACTCGCACTATTTATGCTACGTTTATACAGCGATAGCCAGGAACAGAGATTGTAAATATAGACGCATTATAATCGCGTGTGCATATATATTAAAATCGGAATAATATATATACATGTCGATATAAGTAAACGAGCAATAAATTAAAATTCCCGGGTTTAATTTTACGAATAGCTGCACCTAATTTTACACAATACTCTTTGTATAATTTGTATATTCTAATATTTCAGGGAAAAAAAATAAATAGAAACCATGATATTTAAAATTCTGCGAAAAAAAACCGTATATACAGGGTGATTCTAAAAAAGTGCGAAAAATTTTAGATGATTCTTTGTTAAAAATTAAGGGGAGTTTTTCATATAAACATATATTCCTATATCCCTCTCTGAGGAGTTACACTCCTCCAAAGGGGGAGGATGAAAATTTTTTATTTCCGACATTTATTATAATTTTGTGTCGTTTTTGTTCCATTTTTTCTCACATTTAATACTATAATTTTGTCTTGCTTGCTTTTTTTATTCTAAAATTCTTGTAACTCGAAATGATAACGTATTTTTTTTTTTTTTTTTTTTTTTTTTTTGAAAATTATTGATTTTACGAAAAAAAAAAATAAAAAAGTTTCTAAAGGAATCAAGCTTTCTAACGCATATTTTTTATATGATCACATTACAGACCGTTAAAAAGTTCTAATAAAAAATTTAATAGGGGTTGCTAGTTTCATCCCCTTATAACGATACGGGAGGATTAAAAAAAAAATATTAATAAATATTCTTTTTACTAGTGGCAAATGTCCACCAAATTTCATTTTTTTAACTTGTTCAAAATTTGAAAAAAAAAATAAAAACTTAATTTTTACCTCCATTTTTTTGAAGAGTGTAACTCTTCAAGGAGGAATATAGGAGTATACGTTTATATGAAAAAATCCCCTTAATTTTCGACAAAGAATCATCTCCTAAAATTTTTCGTACTTATTTAGAATCACCCTATATATTATTGTATGTACGGCCGTATCGGGAACAATTCCAAGGAGGATACGACACTGTCGCATTTCTAAAATTCATCTATTTTCTAATAACGCGTCGTACCGGAAAGAGTTCGTCGCCGGAAGTTCGATTCTTAGGATCGATTCCGTATGCGTCGCGGATGCGTGCGCGCGTCTCGACGATAACGAGACGGAGAGAACGGGACGAACGCGACCGGCGTTTACGAGCCGCGAAACACCCGGGACTCGAAACTCGAAGCAGATCCGGTGAGTGCGTAGCTGATCACGTCGTTCGGCTGATTCGCATGTAGGAATGTAATTAGGCGCATGATACAGATATGGTAATACGCGTTGTACGCATAATTACGTATCATTGCGGGTTACATATTGCATACGGATGCGGTATGAAATTCCGAATCGCGCGCAAAATTTCCAAGCGCTTGGCACCACGCTTGGAAAACGTTAATGTTAATTACAAATAAATTACGCTAAACTCTTTATACAGAGAGAAAAGAATCTCTCTCCCCGTATATTCTATATTATATATATTATATATTATA